ATTTCCAGGTAAATGTCTTTTTTTTTTTTTTTTTTTATATATTTCAATCTTTAACCTTTTTTTGTATATACTGTACAACAGAACCCTAAAGTTAACAAACACTGCATTAAAGTAGAGGTGCCCTAAATGTTTTTCTGGTAAATCTGGACTAAACATTTCCAGTTTAAGAACAGTTTCGAACAGAACAGTAATCGAAATCTCTTAAGAACCACAACAATGAGAAGCTGATTTATTCAACAAAGTAAATTTTTATGCTTTCTTTAAATGTATTTGTTACCAAACATTATTGTGCTTCCTCCTGCTTTCTTCAACAGTTTGATAGTTTTGCCTGGTTCCTCTGTTCACCTCTGGGGCAGGCTTGTAGGCCTCCATGCTCATTCACACTATTTCTGTCACCCTAGAACATTACTTTACTAAAGCAGCTTTGTAACTTATTGGGCATTTGTTTGGGTCATTGTGCTTGTGAAATTGGCCTTTCTGACCAAGTCTTAACCTCCTGGTTGATTTCTTAGTTTGTGTCTTCAATATTTTTACACTGTTTTTGTGAACCGCATTACCCATCCATCCTAACAAAGGACATGTCCTTAAAACTACAGCCTTTGTCCTCTAAGTGTATTTGCAATCTGTACTGTGGCTTTTAATTTTGCTTTTAGAGTAATGGCTTCTTCCTCGCTGAGTGGTCTTTCAGCCCATGTTGACGCTGTACTCCTTCTACTGTGGAAAATGACAATGTTTCATGAGCTTGATCTAGCAACTAACCATGCTGTTACACACACAAAAAACAGTTTGACCTAGATTTACAAAGCCATGACATAATCTGGGGTTTCACAAGTGTGATAATCTTACTGTGTGTAAACTTTTGAATTAGAGGAAAATAATAAACTAACAAATTGTTCTTTCTATGTCACATAAGCAAAAATAAATAAGTTGGAAATCCTAACCAAACTATAACCGGAAAGATTTAGTCTAATTTTAAAGCAAGGAAGCAGGAACACAAAGAAAAGAAAACTGCTATATGCCTATTCACATGTGTCTATAGCTTATTTTAGCTGTATGTTATAACTGCACCATATAAGATCTATATATTTAATGTTTGACACATTTTCATTTTTTTTTCTTCTAGAAAGGCTAATTAAAAAAGAGAAAGATATGTCTTCTGATGGCTGTACATTTAATATTAAATATATATTTTTTTAGATACTTCTGATATTTAGTTAGGAAATAAGTAAAGTTAGTTATAGACAAATATGTGAAAATGAAAAAGAACTGCATTATTTTTCTAAGAATCTGTGGACTACTGTATATGATTAAACAGTAGCAGTAATTTTTTATTGAACTTTAACCTTGTTTGTATTTGTTCAGAAGGTTTTTTTTCTTCGCTTGAGCTAAGAGCTTTATCTAATATTTTCCTGCCCTTTTCCAAAAAAGTGAAATTATTATCAAAATAAAATGCTACTGTGAATGAGGTAATGAGAAGTCTGGAAGAATTGAAAAAAGCTCCTTAACACTGCACCAGTGAATCACAAGTATACCTCTGTCACTAACTACAGGTTATTCCAAACTAGAGTTCAAATTAAAAACTATACCCGCATCAGCTTCCCACATCCTGCCTAGAATTTGCAAGACTTCAACGCAGATTATTGATAATGCAAATAGAGGATTTGCAATTCAGCAAAACTCCTCTCACTTTAATTTGAATATGACGTTATGTGATAATTAAAAGCTCCACCCACACATTCATAATATCACAGGTTCCTCTGTGTTTTCAAGAGACTTTGCATGAACAAAGTTCGCTAGAGAGGCAGTACGAGTTTCATTAGTCTTGACTGCTCTGCACAGGATTCACAAACACACACACAATTCCCATAACGATGCTAAAGCAAATGTCTAAAAATTCTCACACTGATCTAAAGACTCCCCATTAATACTACTCATTTAATTATTAGTACTTTAAACTATCTTCTTAAAAATAATTTAAAAATGATTCCAAATAGCAATAAAGTAAGAAGGGGTGTCTCCTGGCTGCCACTCTGTTAATACCTGAACCAAAGTAACACAAACTGGCAGGTTTCCTGTCTTATAGGAGTAAATATTTAATCACTAGCAGGTAGAACGGTGGGTCAGATTACAAAAAAACATGTGTGAAGCAAGCATAGAAACCACTTCTTCAGAGATGCCTGCTGATGCTTCCATGGTGATACAAAAGGTCAAAATAAATTAGCACTAGCTTTTTGTTCCTAGAAGTAGACTACATTGAAAAATAATGCAAAAAAAAAAAACTAAAATGAAACTTCACAATCAGACTATATCTTTATATAATATAAATAAATCTATATATCTTGATTTTTTATTTTGTTTTTAAGCCTTTAAATGGTCTTACCTCTCAGTATCTGTCCAAGCTGATTCAAATATTTGCTCCATTACGCTCAATCAGGTCGGGAGATCAATTATTCTTGGTTGTCCAGAAACCAAACAGGATGATAAGAGGTGAGCGAGCAGACATGCTGACTCACTTGCTGTTTTTAAATCTTCTCTGAAAACACAATAGTTTTCAGATACAAACAATGGGTCCATCATGCTATCACATCTCTATGTACAATAGTTAAAGAATATTAATGTAGGGTCTATTGTTTGAGGAGAAAGGATTTTTACAGGTACTTACAAATCTCTGATAATTTATGTAAAGAGGTCAGGAACTCTGAACAGAAAGGTTGGTCTTAGGTTTTTCAGTTATTTGTTGGAGCGTACAACTGCATAAGCAATAAAGGACTTATAAGTAAACCATACCATGCTGTCACATCTCTTAAGAAGTACTCTACAGAATATGTGAAGCAGCGTTGGGAAAAGAACTGTACATTGTAATAACAGAGGACATATGGACAAATGGTTGGAAAACACAGTCAACTACTACAAACTCATTGGGGTGGAGAGAGTTTTGCTGGAAGAATCTGATCTGCTTCTTTATAACCTCTAAGCAAAAGAGCAAACAAGCAGACACTCAGCTGGGATGCTGGAGAGAATGTTGAGAAAACATTGTGGACTATTCCCATATATTTTGGTTGTGCCCCTCCATCCAGACTTACTGGAAGGAGGTGACAGAAATTATTGATAAGGTCTTGGGTTATACTGTGGATGTGACATTACTTTTTCCTGTATTTAGGTAATTTTCCTGAGGAATTAGACAAAAATGATAAGTATCTCTTAAAAATTATGATGGCAGCAGGGAAAAAGGCAATTACCAAATATTGGCTTCAGAAAGATAGAGCTACGATGGGCGCATTTGTTGGCATAGTAAAACATTTTTAACCTCCCTGAGCAGACAACCTATTCCTTAAGACTGCAAAAAGAAATTGGAGAAAGAAAGTGGGTAAATGGTCCATTTACATGAATGACAGAACCAACAACACAGGTTAATCCGATTATTGTACTGTATAGATTGTATTGTATTGATTGTGATGCACATTTATTTAATGAACTCAAGCTTTTTTTTTTTGTCCTTACTTGTATTTGTCTTGCCTTACTTTACAAAAAATACCATAAATAAAAAAATAATATTTCTCAGTGACTCTTTAATCAGTTTGAGAAGTCGCAATTTATTTATTTTTTTATTTCGCCTTTGTTTTAGATAAAAACATAAATTTTTTTAAAACAACATACTGAACAACTTTAAGGTAATACGTTTCCTAAAAACTGAGGTAAAATTTAGACCAATTTAGTGAATCTGAACAATAT